TGGTTGTGAGCTACCTGATGTAGGTACTGGGAACCAAACTCAATTCCTCTGCAAGAGCAGGTACAGCTCTTAACTGCTGATCTGTCTCTGGAGCCCCTGTGATTCTTTCTTAAGCTACCTTCTCACCTCCTTGAAATTATAAAATCATGGTTACATGCAATGAGATGTATAGTTTGAGTTTTATCAGGTGTATACACCCATGAGCCACTTCTGTTATCTCTCTTCCCTTGGGGGCCCCTTTCCACTTGTCCCATATCCACCCCTGGTCACTTGTTTCTAACCCTGTGGGCCAGTTTTACCTGGGGTTGAACTTTGTGTGTACAGACTCTCTGCCCGTGTTGATGTGAACATTATACACACCTGCATCTTTGGTTGTTGCTGGAGTAGTGTTCCAGTGGGGGAGTCCTTGCTCTCTTACTGATGGTCTCTGGATTGCTTCTAGTTGTTGTCTGTGACAAAGCTGCTGTATTTGTATACCTGTTCTTTGTAGACACTTGGAACATCTCTTGGGTATTTACATAGAGGTAGAGGGTCAAGGTCAAAGGGACAATTGAGTAACTTGTAAGAGACTGCTAAACATTTCCAGTGGGGCTCTATGTGTATGTGCGTGCTCACATGTGTACAGGTGAGCATTCAGGTGTGTGCAGGTGGGTGGAGGCCAGAGGTCAGTGTTGGGTGTCTGCTTTACTCATTCTCCACCAGTTTGCACCCCTCACACTATCAAATGGGGGCTCTTTCCTGTGTCTCCCTCTCTGTTAGGGTTAGGGAGAAGTGAGGTTAGGTTTGAGTGTTTTAGTTTGCTCCTCTGTTGCTGTGATAACGGTCACAACCAAAATCAACTTGGAGAGGAAAGGGTTTATTTCACCTTACGAGGTCACAGTCCATGGTCTGGATCACTTAGGGCAGGAGCTGAAACAGGAACTGGAGACCATGGAGGGGCTTGCTCAGCTACGTTTCTTGTACAGCCCAGGCTCACCTGCCTAGGGATGACACCACCACAGTGGGCCATTAGCAATTAAGGAAGTGTCTCAGATTCCGCATGCCAATCTGATGGGAACAGTTCTGCAGTTGGGATTCCCCTTCCCAAGCAACTCTAGGCTTATGTCAAGCTGAAGCTGACAAAGGCACAGAATTGGATTGTCAGCCGGGCATTGGTGGCACACACCTTTAATCCCAGCACTCAGGAGGCAGAGACAGGTGGATCTCTGTGAGTTCGAGGACAGCCTGGTCTACAGAGCAAGTTCCAGGACAGCCTCCAAAACAATACAAAAAACAACATCAACAACAACAAAAAATTGGATTGTCAAAAGGAACTTGGGAGGATGCAAATAAAACTTAAGCCAGTCCAGGGAAAACAAAGGATGTTCTTTTTGTGGGGTGGGGCAACGGTGTGTGTGTGTGTGTGTGTGTGTGTGTGTGTGTGTGTTATCAAGTTATGCTAAGAGACACTGAGTTCTTTCTGATTTAGGTTAGGACAGGTGTTTGGAAAGCCCCAAGGACATTGCTGGATAAGGGCCTTCTTAAATTCCACAGGATAATGGGCCTGATTAGTATATGATTCAGGGACAGGACAGTAGTCAGTCAGCTCTGGGCCTGAGCACAGGGAAGCTAGTGTGTTCTTCCCCTGCCCACCCACAGCTTTTCATTTGAGACCTTTGTTACCTGGAAGGCTGTGTTTGCAGGAAGGTCAGGCTCCCAGTTTGATACTTTTCTGTGTTAATGGACATTAATATTATTTTGTGGATTTTAGTACTATATGAATATGATGATGGTAGTATTGTTGTTTCTAATTTTAGCCTTTCTAATTGATGTGAAGTGCTACTTTAGTGTGATTTTAATTTGCATTGCTCTAAAAAAAACCTTTTTTGAGTACTTCTTTTCATCATCTACAGGCTATTTATTTATTTATTTATTTATTTGGTCAGCTATCTTCAAGTGTTTTGCCCTGGTTTCCATTTTTAAAAATCAGGGTGGTGTTGGTGGCAGTGCATGGAGGCAGAGGCCAACTTTTCTTGAAACAAAAAGACCCCACTCTTCTAAAGAAGGCTCAGCTTCCTAATCTGTGGAGTGCCACCTCATGTAGAGCTGGGTGCTGAATATCAGGGTAGCTAAAAAAATGACAATAGTAAAAGGTTTCTAAAGTGTGCAGTGAGCACATGTTAATTCAGAATCAAACCAGAATGACCATGAGGTGTTCCTGGTAACTAGCCCTTGATTGTGTTGCCTGAGTGGCTTCATTGCATCCTTGGTTTTGAAATACAACACAACGGTATTTCACAGTTTTCACTGTGCATACTTCTCTGTGCAGTATTAACTAACACTGCCTGGAACAACACTTAACACTGCAGGGTCTACTGAATATACAGTTCTTTTCTCACAGGCATTAATTATAGAAAGCAAAGGCTTTAGTAATAGTTCTGGATGCCATCCTCAGCGTGTATATGTCAAATAGTTGTTTTTTTCAAATAGTCTATCTTTGGATTGTGTTATAGTAGAATATTTGATTTTAAAAATTACTGACTTAAGTTTGTTAAAACAATCAATCTTGGCCGGGCGTTGGTGGCACACACCTTTAATCCCAGCACTCGGGAGGCAGAGGCAGGTGGATCTCTGTGAGTTCGAGGCCAGCCTGGTCTACAGAGCAAGTTCCAGGAAAACCTCCAGAACAATACAGAGAAACCCTGTCTTGAAAAACCAAAAAAAAAAAAAAAAAAAAAAAAAAAAAAAACACACACACACACACAAAAGTCAAATCTTTGAGTTCTGCCTTGAGATTGGGACAGAATTCAGACAGTTTCTGAAATGACTTTAAACATTTATGCCATTTTGTACTGTATATTTATGTAAAATGGCATGCGTTTTCAGCATTGGTGACTGTAAAATCAAAATGTTGATGAACTCTGAGATCTTGAAGATGCTTTGTGTACTGCATTATCATCCAAAAATTCATTCTTTATGTGAAAATAACCAAACACATCCATCTAGTTAGTAGGTAAATGGTAAAGTTTGTATGCCAAATAATTGCTTAAAAATAATTTTCCTTCTGATTTACCAGTACATATTTGATTTGTATGCCTATTTTATACACCTCTGTTTTTCCTAAATTAATATAAAAAATTCTAAGCCGGGTGGTGGTAGTGCACACCTTTAATCCCAGCACTCGAGAGGCAGGGGCAGGGGCAGGGGCAGGGGCAGGGGCAGGGGCAGGGGCAGGGGCAGGGGCAGGGGCAGGGGCAGGCAGATAGATCTCTGTTGGTTTGAGGCCAGCCTGGTCTACAAATTGAGTTCCAGGACAGGCTCCAAAGCTACACAGAGAAACCCTGTCTTGAAAAACAGATAATACAAACAAACAAACATACACACATACATACATGCATTCATACACATACATGTATATATAATAATTCTGTGGGCAAAGTGGTCTCAGGTGAAAAAAGTTTAAGAAGGCCTGAGGTTTGTTGAAAATGTTCCTTCATGCAAGTTTTTGTTTTGAAATGAGGTAAATATTGAGGCAAATCCCTTCTGAAATTACTTAAATAGAAAAATAAGAATTTGCTAAAGTTCCTGGCTTGTAACTTAGATAGGCAGCCATCTGTCTAACGTGCCTATTCTGTGACTTCTTCCTGGGTCAGCTCTAACCATTGTGCCGGCTGGGCATGACATACTAGTGATACAATCTGACCACACTCCTTGGCCTCCTGCCGTCTGACCTGTGCCAGTGTTGTAGTGAGAGTGTCATTGCTGTGATTAATACCATGACCCAGAGCAACTTGGGGAGAAGAGGATTTATTTTAGCTGAAAACTCCCCGGTCAGATTCTGTCACCGAGAGAAGGCAGAGCTGAGGCAGAGACCATGGAGGAAGCTTACTGGCTTGCTCTTATGGCTTACTCAGCCGGCTTTCTTAACAAATGAGGACCATCTGCCTAGGGGATGGCATCACTCATGGACGTGGGCCTTCTGAATCAATCATCAGTCAAGAAAATGCCTCCACAGATTTGCCAGTCTGATTAACGCAACCCCTCAGTCGAGATTCTCTTTCCAGATAAGTCTACATTTGTATCAGTTAATAAAAACCAACCAGCGTGCCCATCTTTTAGGACTTTTTTTTTAAAAACAGTCATTTCTGAAAAATATTGAATAGAGGGAGTTTAATAACACAGCCACCCTTGCTATGGTTACAGTGAAAGCCACTTTTCAATCAGAAGTTCTCCAAAGCTGTCATTTACTAAACAAATCTTTTTCAGCAAGCAGGTACAAAAGATTGGGTTCTCTTTCAGCAGACTCCGAGGTATTTTATGTATAAGACTGTCACTCTTGGGATTAGTACCACTCATCTGGTAACTTCATAGCCAGGAGCTTGATGGGAGGGAACTGCATTTAAGTCCCCCAACATGCTCCCTAAAATAATAGTCTTGCTAGACTGTGTGTGGGTTGGTAATGGAACCACGGGCCTTGTGCTGCTAAGCAGCACTGGACTAAACCTTTTCTTGAAACTAAGGTCTTGTTTGTGAGACAAGGTCTTGTTTCTCCCAGACTAGTTAAGGATGACCTTGAACTGCCTTTACTCCAGAGTACACTTTTCTGGTTTTTTGAGACAGAGCTTTTCTGTGTAACAGCCCTGGCTGTCGTGGAACTCACTACCTATAGACCAGGCTGGCCTCAAACTCACAAGGGATCCACCTGCCTTTGCCTCCCAAGTGTTGGAGTTATAAAGGCGCACACCACCACCGCCCGGCTGATTCCACTTTTCAAGTGGTGAGATGCAGGTGTGGGAGCTGGGGATCAAACTTGGATTTTGTGTACAGGCAGTGTCTCACTGAACTGCATCTCCAGCTGAAACTAGAATGTGAACTGGAATTTTTCACGCGAGCCATTTTGGCAGATTCCCCCCAGTGAAGATTCAGGGTCCCTTGGTCAGGTGGCATAAACTTTACAGGAGTCGCAAGGCTGCAGGAGAGGTAGCAAAGGCAACTGGCTAGAATTATAAACACATTTTATGTTGAGAATCAAGTGGCTAGTGCTTTATTTATCCTTGAGTCTGCATGGATAGATAGATCTCGGTGAGCTGAAGTGCTGCCGGAGCATATGTGCTGATAAGGGAGAGGAGCACACTCGGCCTCCCTCCATCACCTTAGAGAAGTATGTTTTTCCATGGTAAACTAATTCCAAGATGTTCTTAGTCTGGACATGGAGCTGGTGGGGAGCACTCCCTTGATAAAGCTTGCAACCAGGATAACTGTTTGAAACCAGCAAATACGAAAAATCCAGGACTTTTTGTTGGCTTCAGCCATACTAGATGTGTGTACTTGTGGAGGTCCGAAGATGACTTAAGTACTTTCCTTCTACAATGTGAGTCCCAGGAATTGCACTCAGGTTGTCAGGCTTGGTAGCAAGTGCCTTTGCCCAATGAAACAGCGGCTAGGCAGTGGTGGCACACCATGCCTTCATTTTCAGCATTTACCTTCAGTCCCAGCAGGCTGTTCTCTGTGAGTTGGAGGCCAGCCAGGCCTACATAGCTAGTTCCACGACAGCCAAGGCTACACAGAGACATCTTGATCAAACAACAACAACAAAAAAAATGTAAGCAAACAACAACAAAAATCTCAATTTCCAAAGATGGTTAGAAAGCACACACAGGTGTCAGTGTTTGGAAAGTCCCCCTTTAGGCACCCTCATAAAGTGTTTCACAGTTCAATTAAAAAAAAAAAGTTAGCTTTGCATAAGCATTGTTAGCCTGCAAGTTTGTTTTTTTTTCAGAATGTTGCCTTTTGAATGTATAGTATGTAACCCAGAGTTCAAAAGCTATAAAAGGCACAAACCTCTCTTACCCATCTTTGTTTCAAGCCCAGTCTCCTTCTCTAAAGGTGTCCACTGCTGACTTTAAATATCAGCACTTGCATATTAAAGCCATGTGCTAATAAGCATGCAAGCAGGAGTAGTGAGTGAGACAGTTTCTCAGATAGCAGAGCTTGCACGAAGGCCTGATGGCTGAAGCTTGATCCCTGGAACCCACAAGGTGGCAGGAGAGAACGGACTCCAAAAAGGAGTTTCTCTGAATAAATAAATGGATAAAAAATATCTCAAACTTTAAAGTGGCATTTCTGTAAGCTTTACAATAACATAATTGAATTTGGGCATGCTTGGTGAGCTTAACAGCATATTCCCCTGACTTTGTTTGTGTTTATTGCTGTGAAAACTTGTTTTAAAGTGTGTATCGGTTTACCAGTTGATTTTTTTTTTCTGATGGTGCTTTGATTTGAGAAAAGCCTTTCCCAGGTGCAAGTATAAAAGGAATCCACCCCACCACCATCTGTGTGTGTGTGTGTGTGTGTGTGTGTGTGTGTGTGTTGTGTGTGTGTGTGTCTGTCTGTCCGTCCGTCCCAATCTGATCCATCTGAAATTCTACAATAAGGTTAGGGAGTATGCAGGTCTTAGAATTATAAATAATGTGTCATTTTATGAAAGACTTGCCGGTTTCTTTTTTCTTTCAAGGGAGGGACATTGACATTTTTCACTCCTTGGTGCTATTCTGTAGAAAATTTGGAAAAAACTTGGGAGGAAATAAAAAAAAAATCCACAAACCTAGCACCATATGATATACAACAAAAGTAGGATCACACTCCCCCTGTACATTAATTTTTCTCTTGAGAATAAGAACATAGGCTGAAACTGTGTTGAACGGTTGCTAAGTATACCAAACATTTGTTTTTAGACCATTCCCATACCTTTAAAATCGCATATGACCCGAGTGTTTGGTTTATTTTTGATTTGAAAAATACTGTGTGTGCACCTCTGGGTGTGGGCATCCGATGTGTTGCCGGGGGGGGGGGGTGTCAGAGGATAACTTTGTAGAGTTGGTTCTCACCTACCGTTATATGGGTTCTGGGCATTAAACTATGGTCATGGGGCTTGTATCTTTGAGGGGTAAGCGCCTTTACCTGCTAAGCTATCTTAACCCCCTATTTATTGAGACAGACTCTCAGCTTAGGTTGGCCTTGAATTTTCTTTAGGTAAGACTGACTTTGCATTCTTGATTTTCTTTCCACCTCTGCCTCCCAAGTGCTGGGAGTATTGTCTTGCCCAAGTCTAGCAGGCTAAACTCACCTTGCCATTAAAACAATTTTCAAGCTGTGACGCTTCCCGGCGTGGGCCGCGCAGCGCCCCCCTGGTGGCGGGCAGAGAAGGGTTGGAGAGGAGGGAGTCCCAACTCCGTGGCGGAGGCTGGCGCCGACCTGGCCCCAAATTCCTCATCACTCGTGCCTGGGTCGTGCGGACTGGCGGGTTTTGAGCTGGCGCTGTGTACCGAGCTAGCTGAGTCGTCCCTTTTGCAAGACAGCTGGTCCCTAGTCACGAGTGCCTGTATGTCTGGTCTCTTCACTTTGCCGGACAGCTGGCCCTAGTTCCTCGTGCTCGTGGGTCAGGTCTCTCTTTTTTGCAGGGCATCTGACCCCTCGTCGAATGTGCCCGTGGGCCTGGCCTCTTTTGCAGGACGCTGGCCCATGGCCAAACCGGGGACGTCCCAGAGTTTGGACTTCCGGGGTTGGCTCCCAGTCTGCAGCTTGTCACCCGCCAGGGCGTCACCGTGCCCATGCATGGGCGAGGCCTTTTAAACTTCACTGTTTTTTAAACTTCGGGGGTGTGCTCACCCTTGCATTCTTCTTCCCGTGGCCGGTCATCCTCAGACCCGCCGGGGTCCTTCTCTTGCCCTGCCTTCCAGATGCTTTGGAGTCATGAGCCGGGAGGGCGCAGGGACCCCTCGGGTGGCCGAGGTGATCCGAGGTGAGTGCTCAGGGTAGGGTAGGGTGCGGGCTCAATGGAGGAGTGATCTACCGCCCCAGGGTCCCAACTGGCCTCCCCTCTGGGGCTAGTGGTTTTGGGGAAAACCCGACACTTCAGTGTGCTATGACCTTTGTGCCCTACACCCTCTCCACCCACGCTTGGAAGCTAGTGAAATGCTCAGGCACTGAGCGCTGCGGATCAAAGGTCATTTGTGGTTGGCTAGGACTATAGTCCTGTCACCCGTTAGAATGTGGTTGCTAGACGTTTGTAGCTGCATTTACTAGGACATATGTGGAGGCAACAGATAGAAAAGTTTAAATTGTCGTTTGGGGAAAAGGATGTACCAGCTTGTGTTGTTTCTTACTCCTAACAAGGTGGTCTGAAAATAATATGTGTATTTTAAACGTTATCTTTGATTTTTGCCATGTGTTTTGAGTGTAGCCATCTAATTGTTATTAGATACAGTCCTGTTCTGGGGGTTGGGGGTAAGGGTGAAGACTTTGAATATTACTGCCCTTCTTGCTAAATAAACTCCAACATTCTGACTGCATTCATGCAACAGATTCCAGCCCACCCAGGTCTCCCATTACTTCGGTTTTAATAATTTGTAAGAAACTCAAAGCCATGATTCCAAATTAAAAAAAAAAATGCTCATCCATGAAAAGAAGTCGGTAAACACACCTTCTTCTGTTGCATAGCTGTAACCGGCAATATTGAAAGCATTCTTTGTTTTTACTTAAAAGGATTGTTTCCTGCTGTATGTCTTCTCAGGATGTCCCCATAAACTTGATGCATGGCTACAGTCTAGCCATCAAATGTGTGCTGTGGTTCCTGAGATTTCTTAGTCTAGTTTTGCTTCAGAAGTCAAAACAACATCACTGTATGAAAGATCACCTACCACTGTGGAAACTTACAGATTAAGGCAATTTCTTCTGTAAAACTTTTGCTTATTTTTGTTATGCACCAAAAATGACTGCTTTGAGGTTATGCTTTGTTACTTTGTTACCTTTTCCATCTGAAACACGGTGGTTTGTAGGCGCACACAGACACAAATCAATTTAAAAATTATACACTGCCACCTTTCCCGTCATGGGGGCGGGGCATGGGCACACAATTGATTTTTAAAAAGAACCTTCTGTCTTTGAATTCATCAGAAAAGAATTGGGTCTTGGGACACTTTTTAATAGCTTGAAGGAAGGAACATTGCAATTTTTCCATTTCAGATCGCCTTTGTTTTGCCATTCTCTACAGCAGACCAAAGAGTGCGTCAAATGAACATTATTTCAGCATAGATAATGAACTTGAATATGAGAAGTAAGTATTGCCTCTTACGACTGAAACTTTCAAACCATTCTAAAGAGTCTCTTGGTATGAGTACAGATGACATAGCCTTGGAAAATCATTTATCTGACATTCACTTGCAGCTGAGTGCCGTTGCAAATTCTCTAATAAAATAGATCTTTGAGGGTAGAGAGAACTTCTGTTTAAACACTAAGAGTTGATACTGTAAGAGTTTGCACTGAAGAGCTGTGTCAGATATGAACATGTAAGATACTGGTTTTGCAAGTGGAAAATATGTGTAAGAATGATTTTCTTAATTGAGGTTAGAGTTAGTCACATCTCTGGGTTGTGTTTGTTATGTATTTAAATAGGTGTTGATTACCAGAATATTCCTTCTGTTAGTATTAGAAAGACAGGATCTTAGAATTGTATGGCCCGTGTTAATTTGGGTTGGTAGATGCCTTCTTGCCATAATTTGATTTTTTAAAGAGCATTTAAACTCAGAACAGCGCATTCATACTTGTTTCTATTCACTTTTAAAGTTTCTACGCAGATTTTGGACCGCTCAACTTGGCAATGGTTTACAGATATTGTTGCAAGATAAATAAGAAACTCAAGGTAAATCTTTTAAGTTCAGGTTCGACTGCAGCGATCACTCAGCAACGTTTTATAGCAAAGCAAGAGTGTTAAAAAAATTCAGAATTTGAAAGAATGCTTCCTCTTACAAAACAAAAACAGTTTCAGACCAGGTGTGCTGGTGCTGGTACACGCCGGATTTCTGGGCATTTAGGTGGGGGATTCCAAGTTCAAGGCAAGCCCATACTAGACAGAAAAGATCGTATCGTTAAAAAACAGAGAAGGCCTACCAAGAAACTAGCTTCCTACTGAAGTGTATCTTGAAGTCACACGTTAAAAAAACTTTAAAAGTTTTAAAGGTGTGGTGCAATGCACCTGCCATTTCAGCACTCTGGAGGGCTGTTGTGAGTTCATTGGTATGCAGTGACTGAGGCTACATTGTGAGAGTCCATCTCAAAAAAGAGGCAGGGGTCTTGTTAATCACTGTAGTAATATTTTGAATATATACTTTATTTTTATTTTTCTGAGTCTGGGGAAATGGCTCAGCAGTCAAGAGCACTGAATGCTCTGTTAGAGACCCACGTGGTGACTTCTTATAACTGTCTGTCATAGGGGTTCTAGAGGATATGACCCCCTATTCTGGCCTGTGTGTACCAGGCAAACACATAGTACACATACATAGGTATGCAGGCAAAAACACTCATATATTAAAAATACTAATAAAATAATTTTTTTGCTTACACTACATACTTTTTTTTTCTCTCTAGAGGTTTTTTTTGGGGGCTTTGAGACACACTTGTGTGTAACCCAGACTGGTCTAGAAGTGTCTGCATCCCCTCATGGCACGCAGCATGTTTTCTGGTTTTAATGGGATGGGTTTTATTTGGGTTATTTGATTCTGGTTTGGGTTGATGCTCAGAGTGAGAGGCTGTTAGTCAACCAGGTCCATGCTTGTCTGACCTAATGGGAACTGTGAAGCCAGACGAGAGAAATTCTTCCCTTGTTTTCACCATCTTTATCCTGCTTCCCTTTCAAAGGAGGAGCACTGATGAATGGCGAGGAATGCACACTCTACTCTGCTCTCTCTGAGCTGGAAACTCACACTATGTTGTGTGAGTTGCAGGTTGGATCCATTACACATAGGACTGGGCAGTAAGAGAACCAAGGATCATTTGTGTGTCTGTCTGTGAGGCTGCCTCATTGAGAGTACACAGTGTGAACACAAATCCCACTCCTTTGTTTTGAAAACTCAGACACAGGGTGCCTAGCTGGGCATATTGATACATGCCTTTGATCTCTGCACTTGGTAGGCAGAGTCAGGTAGAGATCTCTGTGAGTTTGTGACCAGTCTACATAATGAGTTTCAGGCCAGCCAGGACCACATAGTGAGACCATGTCTCAAATCGTAAAAAAAGTAACTAGTCATTATAAACTCTCAAGTAGAAAATACTGAATTTGTTGGCAGGAACTATACAAAAACTTTATCAGTGGGTTACCTACCAGGGAACTATGCAAAACAAATAACATTTATTTTTGCTTAACATCATTACAAGCTTATGAGTAAGGGAGATATTTTACCTTCCTGAGTGTCAGCTGCATTCACTACCTATTTAGACACAAGAGTAGACTCCTTTCCTTGCTCTCTTAAATAGCAAAGTAAACATCTGTTCCCTCCTGTCCTTGGGTCCCTCTCTGCTTTTCCACTTGTCAGCGGCAGTCTTTTGTTCCTACAGGGCCCTAAATATAATTCTCCCCTCTCAACTATTGTTCCTTTGTTTTAGGTTTTTTTTTTTTTGAGTAAATCTATGCATGTGTGCACCTGTGTGTGCACCTTCACGCCCAACCTGCTGGAGACTTACTGTGTCCACCAGAAACGAGTGCATTCCTGTCTAATGACTTGCTGGAAGCACTGAAAAGTTGACTCACCAGCCTGTCTGAAACCTCGCTGCCCGTTCAACCTAGTTCGTTTCAGAGTGCCCTGGGAGAAGAGGGTGCCTGTGTTGCCAATGACTGACTGGCTAGGTTTTGATTTTGGTTTTAATTCAATTAGGTCTGTTAGTCCATATAAATCACTAAGGGAAGGGAGCACACATTGACAGTAGAGACAGTTTCACATTAGTGAAGCACCACTGGGGGCCTGCTGGGTGATGGCTTCCTTTTCTTTTTAACTTACTGTTCATGTGTAACATGCACAAAGAAGCCGGGCGGTGGTGGCGCACGCCTTTAATCCCAGCACTCGGGAGGCAGAGGCAGGTGGATCTCTGTGAGTTCGAGGCCAGGCTGGACCAACAGCCTCCAAAACAATACAGAGAAACCCTGTCTCATAAAAAAACAAAAAAACAAAAAAAACATGCACAGAGAAACATACACAGATTCCCCAGTGTACACTTAATTTTCATAAATTAAGAAGAGGCCTTTCAGCTGCTGGCTTGTGGGCTGTATTCCTTCCGTGTATCCTTTTAACTGACTGGCTTTAGGACTAGAGATTATTTTCAAAAAGATAATTTTTTTTGTTTTATGTGTATGAGTATTTTTCACAAATGTATGTACAGTGCTCTCAGATGTCAGAGCAGTGCATTAGATACCCTGGATACAGACAGACATGAGCTGCCATGTGGGTGCTGGGAATCAAACCCAGGCCTTCTTCAAAAGCATTGAGTGCTCTTAATCACTGAACCACCTCTCCAGATCAGGATTAAAGAAGAAGCAAATAAATCAGGCTTGTTGGTTAGTGCCTTTAATCCTAGCGTTAAAGAGGTGAAGGCTGGTGTGTCGCCATGACTTCAAGGCCACCCTGGTCTATATTAATGAGCTCAGGCCAGCCAGTGTTATTAGTGAGACCCTGTCTCAAGCAAACGGGGATTCTTCAGCCAACCTTTCGTTGATGATCTTTCACACCGGGGCATTTATTCAGTTTCCTGTGTCAGGAGTTGTGGATGATGCCATAATCTTATGTCTCAATAGAAAAACATGGCACTGTTGAGTGACAGTGGCCTCCAGGGAGAACTTTAATTCCCACAGACTCGGGATTCATCAGTTTTTTTTTTTTTTTTGTTCTTAGTGTTAAAGAGTTCTTGACTATACATCCATAGCTTTCTGAAATGACCAGGTAGGCCTGTCTTTAGGGATATAGCTATTCACATTTATTTCCCTTTCTCCCTTTAATTTTAAGTCATTCTAATGCCACACTGTGTCTCATGGGAAGGTACCCGAAAGGCTCTGATATCCAGACCGCTTATGCATGTGAGATGTAGAATTTGTCACAAAGTAGAATTTTAGGAAGCTTCAAGAAAATACTAACAACAGTTTGTTTTGATGCAGTCCATTACGATGCTGAGGAAGAAAATTATCCATTTTACTGGCTCTGATCAGAGGAAACAAGCGAATGCAGCCTTCCTTATTGGCTGTTACATGGTAAGTGTCACTTGGGGGGTCTGAAGGTCCATCAGTGTGCACAGCTGTGCTGCTTTACCATCAGGGTTGGTATTTTGAATACCTTTATCTGCTTGAGCCATCTTACTGGCTCGGCAGGTGGATACCTTAACTGTGAATTTTGGTTCCATTATTTGGCCAACTTATTATATCTGAGGAGGAGAGCCTTACTAAATGACACCTTAACACAAATTAGTAATATCTGGGGTCATGAAATATTAATGGAACCTGGAGAATCAGTCCTTGGTGTGACAGCAAAATTTCTAAACTATTTGTGGTCTTCCCTACACACTGTCCAAGTGAAAGTCTGGACGGCCAGGGCAGTCCCACCAGGGACAGGATCCACAGGCATGCCCTGCCCACACACGTAACTCCTTAACCAGGGTTGTCTCTGGATTGATCTATTGTACACTGTCAGATAAAGCACTAATGGCTATGTTGTGTGGAACCAGCTGCTGTTATTTTAGGGTAGAGAATCTCTCTCAGAAAATGGTTGAGGGTATGGTGGAACATTGGGCTAAAACCAGAAAGAAAATGCTGGATAATTTATAAACATGAAGCTGTTCTTGCTGTAGTGGTTGTTTTTGTTTGTTTGGTTTGTTTTTAGGTTTTTGAGACAGGGTTTCTCTGTTTACCAGTCCTGGCTGTCCTGAAACTTACTCTGTGTAGACCAGGCTGGTCTTGAACTTACAGAGATCCTCTCCTGCCCATGCTTCACAGAGTAGTACTGGGATTAAAGGTGTAAACCACCACACCTGGCTCATTCTGGCTATTTTTATTTGGTGGGTCTTTGGATTAAACTCATGGCCTCCAGTATCTAAGGTACTTTTGCTAATGGTTGTATTTGTGCACACAGGGGCTTAGTTTATTTTTGTGCTTTCATAGGTAATATATATACATTTAGAATTCCCCCGAAAGGGGCTGGAGAGATGGCTCAGAGATTAAGAGCACTGACTGTTCTTCAGAGGTCTTGAGTTCATTTCCCAGTAACTATACAGTGGCTCACAACCATCTGTAATGAGATCTGATGTTCTCTTCTGGTATGCAGGCAAGCATGCAGACAGAAAATTGCATGCACAATAAACAAATAAATAATATCTAAGAGGGTTTACCCTTGTACTTAGATGCTGATTCCATGGTTAAGAATTTGCCAGGGAAATCTGGGTAGATTTGGATATTCACCGAGTTGATTACTTTGCTCCGGTAGAAGCCAGTTTGTGGGAGGTTTAGTGTATGGCTAGGGCAGGTACCTTTGAGGTCATGGTAGGTGGGCAAATGGTGGAGCTTGGAGTGATTATAATGCTTGTGGGGGAAGCAAGAGAAAGACCTCCAAGAAAAAGAAAGTTACTCATAGTAGGAAAGAGTGTTGACAGGTGATAAAGATACTTGAGAAGATAAAACACCCAAGCGATCAAGACCTCTTGTTTGAAGTTCATTTGGTTCTCTGGTTAAAGTACTGTAGAGATTAGTGCTAATTCCTGTGAATTGAGCTGAAGTCTTGATAAGTTTTTTCTAGAGTTGTTGAATTTTGAAGGTAGTAAAGCTTGAGCAGTAATGTTGAAACAAAACCAAAAATACGGAAAGAATTTTCCAGCTCAGTGGTAGATCAAACACTTGGCCTAGTATGCAAGGGACCCTGAGTTCTGTCCCCAGACACTGCAGGGGGGGGGGGCGGAAATCAACAACCAACAAAAAGAAACAGAACAAAGAAGAACTGGGGAGATGTTTAAAAGTGCTCACTGTGCAAGAGTGAGGGTCTGCATTCATATCTTCAGTACCCATGTAAAAAAACTGAGCATAGCTGCATATGCCTATAGTGTGCTGATAGTAGCCCTAACACGGAGGAGTAGAGACAAATGAGCTTCAGATTCAGTGGGAGACCTTGTCTCAAGGGAATAAATTAGAGAGCAATACAGGAGGAAGCTCGATGTTGTATTCTGGCCTCTGCACATACGTATACAGGTGTGTGCTCACACACTCATGGTTAACATACACATACACATTTACACACATAGGCACATACATACATATAAAAAGACAAACACATGCTTGCACATGCACACATACACACGTGTATAAACAGGTATACACATTTATACAAAGCAATACTTCCATTTATTGTTTGTCTTTTTAAAAACCTTCATGCAAAGCCAGGTGGTGGTGGCACATGCCTTTAATCCCAGCACTCTGGAGGCAGAGGCAATCAGACCTCTGTGAGTTCGAGGCTAGCCTGGTCTAAAGAGCAAGTTTTGGGACAGCCTCCAAAACAATACAGAGAAACCTTGTCTTGAAAAAAAAAAAGAAATCTTTTTAAATTAAAAACAGTTACCATTCTGTCTTACTGGTTATTATCTGTGATTATTTCCTCCTGTTAAGCTTTTCTACAGGCTGGATCACCTCCTCCTGGGTTACACATACTTCCGACGGACGGCAAAACTTTGTTGTCTTTTCGAGACAGTGTTTCATTGTGTTGTGTAGCTCTAACTCCGGGAGCTCACTCTGTAGACCAGGCTGGCTTCAAACTCACAGAGATCCAATTGCCTCTGCCTCCCAAGTGCTGGGATTAATGGCCTGGACCACTACCTTCCAGCTGACTTCATTTTTCTCTAAAAAATAAATTCAAAGCCTCTGAGGTGTAGACTCCATGACACAGCAGATTACTTAACAAGTAGCTTGCAAATTTGTTGTCCCCCATGGTTAATAACTTACTCTGGAAGAAGTAATTGTGGTAACTTGTAGGTTCCCTCATAAATATTTATCACTGTGGTTTTTTTTTTTAACGGTTCTTACCGTCTTTAGAATGGCTTACCTTGTAAGAATTCATATGGAAAATTATAGTCCTGATTAACTCCCAAGAATATACTAGCTCAGCAGTATATTTGAGTAGATTTCCGAAGTCTGAGATTGCCTTAGCAGTCAAACTGAGAATGTCAGGGCTTTATCTAGTGGTGAACTTTTGGGCCTCTGGTCCACTTTTTAAGTGAGTTCATTATTTTGTACTCTCAGTAGCCAGTTATGGTGGCTTCAGGGCAGAGAGATTGGACAAGGGTTAGGTGGAGGCGGAGGGTCAGGTTGCAGAGCTCATCCAGCAGCGCAGATAGGGCAATAGAGACCATAGGGAAGGAAAGAACCTAAGTGGGGGTGGTCACTGGCTCTGTAATCACTCCTGGGTGAACCTCCTTCTTGGGTATTAAGAAAGGCAGAACAACCAGGCAGCTGTAAACATAGCAGCCAGGCCCACAGGCAGAAGCCTCACAGCACCTCAGCTGTGCCAGGGTGGAGCAGTTGCTCCCAGCTCATGAGGCTTACGTCTCTGTGCACTCCAGTAAGTACCCCAGACACCGTGGCCCCTGGGGTATCGGCTGAGTGGCATTAACTTTGACCCTTTGAAGCATGTGTGATTCTTGTTTGCAAATCTGTTTCTCTTCTCTTCGTTTCAGTCCTGGGTTTAGGCAGGATGGTTTCTTGTCTATAAATAAGGGCTGAGCAGTGGCCTTCTATTAGTAACAATCAGGGTGATCCCTGGATGAGCAGCCTTTGAGGGTTATGTAACTCACAGAATATTTTTAAATGGTTGTAGCCCTCCACCTTCACCCATGTTTAAAAATTGAGATCACGGGGGCTGGGGATATATAGTTCAGTTGGCAGAGTGCTTGACTAGCATGCATCCAGTCTTGGGTTTGATCTGATCCCTACCTAATAATGAATAAACCTGGTGTGATGGTACATGATTTTAATCCTTAACACTTGGGAGTTAGAGTCAGGGGCACCAAGAGTTCATGATCATTCTTGGTTACATAGGTGAGTTGGAGGCCAGCCTAGGCTACATGAGACTCCTATGTTTAAAAAAAGAAATGAGATCTTTCTTTTAAAAAAGGTCAGAATGTACTGGACATGATGGTACACTCCTTTTAATTGAAGCCCTGGGAAGGCAGAGGCTGGTGGATCTGTTTTAGTTAGAGGCCAGCCTAGTCTACAGAGCAAGTTCCAGGTAAGCTCGGGTATAACATAGTGAGATCCTGCCTCAAAAAAAAAAAAAAAATGATTAAGAATTTTTATATGCATGCATGAAACTGTCAGAAAAAAAAATGAAGGGAAAAAAAAAGACTCAGGGTCCCTCCCCCTTTAACCGTATCAGTATGCAGGAGCTTATGCCCAAGGCCAGTTGCTTAGTTTATTAACTGGTATCGGTATTGAGGCGTGCATATTTTTATTTATTTTTTTCGGGGGCAGTGTTTCTTTGTGTAACAGCCCCTGGCTGTCCTAGAACTCACCTTGTAGGCCAGACTGACCTCTAACTCAGAGGTCCTCCTGCCTTTGACTCCCAAGTGCTGGGACTAAAGTTGTGTGCCACTACAGCTGGCTAGTAGAGAGCATTTGATATTGAAATGTAAAGGCATCTGGTGTTTTTATTTTTTGTTTCCTTTTGAAACAGGGCAGAGCTTTGTAGTAGCTCAGGCTGACTCCATATTCTCAGTCCTCTAGGCCTCTGCTCCCTACTGCTGAGATTAACAGGCCTGTGCCTCTGTCTCCGGAAACCATCTCATTAGTCTTAGTGAGTTAGTGGCTGGGCTGAATTGCCAAAGCACTTGAGTATCTCTGTCTAATGAGTCCTAGCACCTATATAAAAATGCTGGGCGTGGTGTTAGGCATAAAGACAGGATTACTGGTCACCACTCTAGACTTAAGGGGTGAGCTTCAGGACAGTGAGAGACCCTATCTCAGAGGAGGTGGACAGCCTGCCTGAGGGTGACACCTGAGATTGTCTGCCAACTTCCACTTTTTTTTTCCTTGTTAGTATTTCTGTAGGTCTCTGAGTTATGTATATTCTGCATACCTTTTAGCAGCTGAATATGAACTTGAATTGCTTTTGTGCACATACTGTGGCAATTTAGAGTTTTTTTTTAACTCAGTCAAATTCTTGGCACAGGAAGGACTGTGTCATCTGGCTGACATGTGAAAATAGTTACAGGAGCCTTTAA